TAAGTGGCAGTACTCTTCCCAGCCTGCTGGCCCTTTCCCTCTGTTAAAGGTGACGACGGATGAAATATTCGGCTCTGGCAACCCCCTGCCTGGCATCACAGGGCATTTCTGCCTTCACAAGTTGCAGCAGTCTGACCACAAGCCAGTCACATTAAAGGGGCATCAGAGGGATCTCAGGTGAAGAAGGATATGAAATATTTTGATTTATTTTAATTAAAAGTTTAGATCCTCTGCATTTACATCTGCCTTTTCTTCCCTCGCCCATTGACACAAGCAGTTTGGGAGTACTGTTAACCCTGAGCACCTAGAAAGTACACCTTGAAAAAGCTACCCATCTGCCCTCCCCAAACTCCAGTACCAGCATGGGTATCAGCCAAGTCTCCCTTTCTAATCCCCTGCTGCAACACAAGAATTGCCGTCACTGGGATGTTTACTTCCAAAGAAGTCATCATCTAAATGTGCCAAACTCACTCGCTCTCGGTGGAAGATTTTCATTTCACCTTCCCCCCTCCACACGTATATTTATTCCCCCAACACCAACACAGATGCACTCACATACAGATATCAGTAATGGGACTCAGCTCTTCTCTGTATATTAAAGCCTCTTTCTTGAGTGGGATTAATCTTGGCAGCTGTCTGACAGGAGAGACTGTGTGGGAGGAAAATGGTTTTATCTAAAACTTGAAAGAAAGCAAAATAATCTTCGAGAGAACAAACTGTGTTTCAACTCTTGCTCCTTCAGTGGAAGACTATTTACTAACAGAAAATACCCAAAACCAGCAAAAATATAGAAGTACTGCTCTGAAAGGTAATACAACAACCGTGCATTTTTTCTTTCATGCTACTTACGTGGCCACTTTTCAAATATTTATTAATATTGCAGCTGAGTCTCTCCATAGGAGGCCAGAATCTGAGTCAATTTTGAAAATCAAATGAAGCAAATCCCATGGTTTTCTTTTATTTTTTTGCAGAAAAGATCTCCGCTTCCCATCCTGCCTCTGCTGTACTTTCAGAGATGGGAAAGCTAACAAACAAGACAGCATGAATTATCTCTGTATTTCTGATTTACTTTTCCAGAGCAATAACATCAATGAAACATACCACTGTTCTTTATAATTAAAAACCAAGTTTGCTCTTATAGAAGCTGTATTTCCCCTTGCTGGCAGGGAAGTCTCTCTTGGAAAAGGTCATCTAGCTCTGAAGTTGCCCTGTGACCTGCTCTGAGGAGGCTGCACGCCCTGATGTCAATGTGGACACCCTGTTTCCAGCCTCTTCAGTCTATGCTTGTCCTTCTCCATGTCCCCCTCAGCTCATGGGCTGGCTCCACATCCAAGTCACTCAACCTTTTTTCTGACTCTTGGCTCTTGTTCCAGCCTGTCCCATTTGTTCTCTCCTCACCTTCACGTTGATGTCCAATCCCACCCTACCTCAGCTGGTCAATGGCTTTATGTTGCTTTGTGGCCCCTTGCCTGCTGCTGTCACCCTGCTGTTTCCTGTGCCCATGGGTCACAGCAAGAGCTGCCTCCCTGCCTGCAGCTCCAGGGCAAAGCACAGCAGCTACTTAAGTGAAGTTTCCCAAGGCAAATCAGAGCTAATGGCTGACCTTTTGGTCTGAGAAATTTCAGCTGAAACAATTAACAGATAAAGGCGGATGAAAGTGCAATTTCGCCTGGATAATGCTGGATATCTTGCTGCTATGCCTTATCTCATTAAAAAATTCCAGCTTTAGCATGTAAAACTGTTAAAGGTACTTTTTCTCTCTGCCCAGAATCTACTTGGCACCAAAGGTACATATGGTAAAATAACAAAATACAAGTGCACCTGGAAGTCATGGAAATTTGCAACTGACACAAAAGATTCATTTCTGAGCAAACCTCTCCTGGAAGATTCTCGGTACCTCAGAGAACGTGATTTAAATAACTAAACAGTCTCCATTTGAAATGGTTCCCTTCACTGTGGCATTTGCCATCCTGACAGTGAGGGTCCCTGAGAGGACTGTACTGACAGCAAAAGCCACGGTGCTTCACACACCTGCACTTTTTTCTTGAGCAGTTCAATAGCACAACACACTACATGACACTATTACATATGCCTTCACCTGCTGCCAGTACTGCTTCAGGCTTCAGCAGCACTAACGTATTAAATAATGTCAGATCGATCCTATTTGGGGCTGCTCCTCAGAATAAAGGTTCAGTTCTTGCTGGATCTCTAGGAAGGCATCTTAATAATGCTCCATTCCCACCCTCTTGACAGCGATGTTTACCACACAACCATTGTATATGTTTAGGGTGTCTCCAAATTATTTTGGGAAAAACATACAGTAAATTTTATACAACAAAGCTTTTTTCAGCATTTTAAAAGACATGCAGAGCATGAAAATGATGCAGTAACCTGCTTGCATAGTGCTCTGCCATCTATCTCCCCAGACTCTTGAAAAACCGACATGGTTCCTCAAGAGACTTACTTGATTAAAGAACATTAATTAATTGAATGAACATCTGTGCTGTTTTTCAACTAATAATTAAAATTAGCTAGGAATTGTAATCTCCTTAAAAGTGAAAAGTACACAGAATAACTGCAGCCTACTTTCTCACAACATTTGGGTAGGGCTAAGCAACTACAGCATTTCCCAGAATGGTTCCCCAGAGATTTGTGAGGCCTCGTGGTAGAAGTTTGCTTCCTGGCCAGCCTGACAACAGGAACATTTTATTCTTGGCTTCATGCGTTAACATATTATCCATGACAGTGCTGACATTTGTTGCTAAGTAAAATTGAATGTAAATGGTCTAGAAAGCTGCCATTAAATTTAGAAATTATTTTTTGAGTTTGAAATTAAGTACTGTCAACACAACTCATGTTTCCACTTACACGCAAATATGATAAGAATTTTAATGACTTCTCCAAACTCCGTGTATACAAGAAAGAAGGGAAATAAGATTAATTATTTTAATTGCTCTGAAACTGTATTATAAAAAGCAACCGACCTATGTGGTATCATAAGAGCTCAAGGACTATCCAACAGGACAGAGTAAGTAGGAGGGCTAGCTGAGAAAATGTCATGCTACATGTGCAAATGAAATGTTGCTTCCATCCTCCTACCATCCCTCAGCGTAACCCACGAGGTCAGGATACAGGCAGGATCATCCTTTTTCTCACACAGAAGAAATTCTTAGTTATTTAAACATGGGGCTTTATTCCCTGAGATCAAAGGAGGGAGCCAAGGAGAGCCAAGCCAGTGGGACACAGCACCAGGTAGAAGTGGAGATTAACAGCAAAAATGAGATTTCACTGCACGTGACAGAAACCAACTAAGAGTCTAGACATAGAAAATATCAAATGACTGCAAACGAAAACATCTCTGAACGAGGAGGCAGATTCATTTAAGCTGTTCTTAGTAGGCCGGCAGACAGTCTACAGGCAGTCAATGCAAAAGCCAGACTGGAATGAGTACAGGAATACTCAGCCGTGTAATATTGAAGCTGCAGTGAGAACTGGTAGATTCATACAAATATCATAGATATTTGTAAAATTTTCAGAGGTTTACAGAATATTTATCTTCAGTACAGAATCACCTGCACAATGACTGTCCTCAGTCACTAGTTTGCAACATACTTACTTAGTTGCACACTTTTTCTGAAATGGCATTTAGCAAGATTGGGTGGTTCAGGGAAATGAAAGACACCTCTCAGAATATATCTGCTTAGTATCCTCTAATTGTAGATGGTTTCTGAACCATTTATTTTCTGACCCCTGCTTGGGAAACAATACAAGGGAAGCCTGAGAAATTCCATTCAAGGCAGGTTGAATGGGTCTCTTCCTCACAGCCTGTACCCAGTTCCTGCGTTAGAGAAGGGGGGCAGGAAGAGGTACCTCAGAGCACTGGGAGACCAGCAGCAGCCCCAGGAAGCCTGCGAGCTCTCAGCATCTCAGGCTGAAGTGACAGGGGTAGGCAGCACCTGGAACCTGTGTCATTCACTCGCATGGCTCCCAGCCACAGGAGCGACCAGCTGTGTGCATCCCAGCTGGACCTGGGCCTAGAACCACTTGAAATTTCATCAGAAGTAGGAAAATTAAGCTGGAAATTCATCAGACCTTGCTTGTTCTGGTATCACAACATTCTTATTTAACCTATTTTTCTTGTCTTCCTACTCAGTTTTTCATAGGCATTCCAGTACTGTATAGTATCCGTCAATAACATTCTATCTGGAGTAAAACTGTCCCCCCCTCCTTTTTGCTCACAGTGCAGAGAGTTGAAAGCCTACAGAAGGATTAAACAAATAAACTATTTGCTATCATGATACCATTCCTCAGGCTTATCTACTTTCTTTGGTCAGTAAATACACTTTTTGTGCCACTTGGCCCCACTCCAGCCCAGTATTATACTGGTGTAAGAACTCTGAAGAAAAGAAAAAGGAATTTGGTAGCGCCAGCTTGTAGCATCCTGCAAAAGGGGCTTTTTCCTCCTGTCTGAGGGATTTATACCTCTGAAAACTAAACACACTATTTGCAGACTGTCAGCAAGAGCCTCTAAAAGAAATACTGAAGTCTGACAGCATACACTCTCTTAGTATCTGCAGTGTACACCACTCTCTGAGAAGAAGTCACAGAGTGACTGCAGAGAAGATGCCACCATTCACACCACAAGGTATTCTGGGCTGGCTGACCCATGGAGTAGCAGGATGCATCAGGGGAACAACTGGGGGATGTACCCTGGACGGCCACTGACGTGTCCCGGAGACATGTAACATGACAGTTTCCTCAAACCAGGACACTGAAATCTTCTGAAGAGCTAATAAATCCCACAGAGTGTAGGACTATTTGTAGTAGTGAAACAGTAGTTGTTTGGGAGGTGTGCATATATGGCAGTTACCAAGCTTGAAACAAGCATGGGAGAAAAAACACAGCCATAACCACAGATTTGGTCATCACCCTGATCTCACCAAAAATAGTCTGTGTCACAAAAAAAACACGGTAGGTGCACATAATGATGAAACGCTTACCCTGGAATCCTTTTCCAGATGAAGCTTGTGTTGCAGACTGCGTCTTCTCCTGGCCTTGGCAATGCCATTATGATAAAAGAAGTATCCAGTATCTAAAAAAGGGAGCTGAGGAAGAGAGAGAGAAAAAAATGTCACGGAGATATTGGCTACTAATAAGGATGACATGGAAAACTTTTACTCGTGAAGTGACTCAGGAGTCTACAGCAAAACTTGTGAAGAGTTATAGCAGGGGGCCCAAATCACTTCTGAGAATGTCACTTCTCAGCTACTTTTGAAAAGTGTACACAGCAGCATTAAAGTTATTTGCTACAGGTTTACAAGCGTAACCACACTTGTACACATTGGGTACTACTTTCACCTTATGTTTAAGGTCAACAGTGCCAATATTTCTGAAGGGCTTCCCCAGATCACATCAGGATTAGTTCCTATTTCATGAAAAAGCCAGAATAAAAGAACAAAATGAACTGCAAATGATTTGAAACTACCACAAACCATCCTTCAGCAACAAGGTGTTACACAAGTGCTTTTCTGAGCCATTATAATGCATCCAAACTGATGCCGTACGCACTAAAGCAGAGCAATTTCCACTCTCTCAAAAATACAGTATTTGGAATGTCTTCTGAAAACCAGGAAGTGTAATGGAAGAAGAACATTAAGAAAGCAGACAGTTCACAGTGTCCGGCTGGGAGAGGTCTTATACAGCTTTCCTAAGACATTTCAGCAGCAAGCAAACACCTCCCGAGGGCTTTCCAGCCCCACCTAAGGCACGGTGTGAGGAGAACAGCATCCCACTTCCAGCAATCCATTAGAAAACTCCATTTGCATTTCAAATTCTACAGCTTTTTCACCATTCCAACTTAAAAGAGAGATTCTAGTTGAATGTTTAAATCTAAGCAAGTAACTATGTATTTTTAAACTAAGCTTCTCTTTGTAAAAGTTCAAAAAAAAAATGGGCTCTTGTTGGGAAGTTGTATGTTAATGCTGTGAACATTTCAACTTCAAAGGTTAGCCCTGCATGTAAAATAACTACTTAAAAGAGATATTCCAGCACAGCCATGACAGCCCCATTCCTCTCCTTTTTATTATCTACACTTCATGATATAAACCTCTTAGGAGTTCAAAGTTCTTTACCAAAAACCTGATACCGACGTCTAGATGGAATATTCATTGTGGAAACCCAGGCTGAACAGGGGTAGCAGGATCTTGCTGCCATAAGACAGATTGTTACTGCGTAGAGGTATACACGGTTCACAAATACAATTTTCCCTCTATGAAATTATCTCCTGTTTCATTACATCTATCACTATATCTGGTGCTGCTCTGCAAATATATTTGGGCACACAGGTGGAAAGGGGTGGGAAGGTGTCGCAGTGTAGGCCGGGCTGGCCATTGACAAGACAACAGATGTTCTCCGACCTTCCTCTCCCTCAGAGGAAGAAGAGATATTTGTGAGTTTAGAAAAAACTAAACTAATGAAATAGTAATAATAAAATAAGAAGGAAATAATTAAGTAATGATTATATAAAGATATATACAAGACTGTATATATTTTTATATATACAAAATTGTATCAAGCTCCCAGAGGATGCCACCTGCAGCCCCAGAGCAGTCTCAGTGACCACAGGAACAGGGTTCCGGAACGCTCTGATGGGGAAGGAAGTTAGACAAACTCACAGGATCCTCCTCATTGAAGAGGAACCCTTGGAGAGGAGCCAACCTGACCCCTCTGCTCCCTCAGCTGTTCTGCTGAGCAGGGCAGATGGGACGGGACACCCCATTGGTCAGTTTGGGTCACCTGACCCGGCCACCCCTGCAGGGGGTAAACAAGCTGGTCAGCTGGGCCTGGTACCACCTGAGCCTCTGCCTCAGCAGGGAGTCTGCTCCCAGGCACAAACCAGGCCAGGATGGGAGACTCACGGGGAATTCAAGGAATTGTCAGTTGGAAGGGACCTTCTAGAGATCATCTAGTCCAACTCCCCTGCCAAAGCAGGGTTGCCCAGAGCACATCACTCAGGGCTGCATCCAGGCAGGGCTTGAAGGTCTCCAGAGAAGGGGACTCCACACCCTCCCTGGGCAGCCTGTCCCAGGGCTCTGGCACCCTCACCACAAAGTTCTTCCTCAGATTTGAGTGGAACTTCCCATGTTCCAGCTTGTGCCCGTTGCCCCTCGTCCTGTCACTGGGAACCAATGAAAAGAGCCCGGCTCCATCCTCCTTCAACCCACCCTTTAGATACTTGTAAACATACCTAAGGTCTCCCCTCAGCCTTCTCCAGGCTAAAGAGCCCCAGCTCTCTCAGCCTTTCCTCATCAGGGAGATGTTCCAATCCCTTAATCATTTTTGTTGCCCTACGCTAGACTCTCTCCAGTGGTTCCCTGTCTCTCTTGAACTGGGGAGCCCAGAACTGGACGAATTCTTAAAGTTTAACATTTGGTCACATTCAAAAATGAGTATGTGAGCTTTTGGTTGGTTTTGGTTGGTTGGTTTTTTATATCAATGAAATCAAAACATTTCATTTTCACTTTTAAAATTCCATGGCGTGTGATCCATAATAAAGTAACTATAAAAAGGGAAAAAAAAAACATTCTGTTCTGATAAAATTACCTCCTTTTAAGTGTATATAAAAGGTTAAGGAGATTTCATCAAAAAAAACTGTGGTCCTTTGGAGCTGATTTGTGGGCTAACTGGTGAGTTTTTCTGGGCAAATAATCAGAATATTTAGCATCAGCTCCATCCACTTGCTAAGAACACAACAGCTCCAACACAAGGAGAAGTGAGGCTACAAAAGCTCATGGCAGCTGTAACAGCAGTCTCCTACCCTTCATATCCATCCTCAGAGCCGCAGCTCTTAAGGCTCAAATCCTGTCTGGGTTTAGGTCCTATTTTAAAAAGCTGATTTATTTTTCGAAAGCCTATATTGACATCTTTAATAACTGGGTAATCAAGTATTTCCATAATCCAGAGTTTGGCAACAGATCTGATTGTCCAGGAAATGGCCCTTCCCCCATGCCAGATACATTACTCTCAAAAATATGCAGGGGAAAAAAAGTCTAAATAGCCAGATCAGTTACAGCTTGAAATCCATCTCGCCGTGCTAACCGTTCCCATCCATCGCAAGCTGCGGTCCAATTACCCCTCTAATTCTCACAGTGAAATCAGGCTGTTTTCCTTCTTTTTATCTCAGTATGAACCATTCAAATCAATTCCAGTCAAATATTGATCCTGATGTTCTTCCATTAAGGAAGACTCTCAGCAATTTTGAGGATTTCTGGAAACGTATCACACATATTCACTGTGTGTTTTCTGTGTATGGTTAAGTTTTTAGTGCCACTTAGAATGAAGCAATATATTATATAGTAAACTTATAATACCAGTGTATTCAAGTCAAGTAAAACAGTGACCAGATTTGTGGACAAACTCATGAGTAAGCCTGACTGAGACTAAGACTATTCCACGGCTTCCACAGATATCCCAGTAATCTCAGAAGAAGATTTTTACAGTTTGCACGGTTTTCATACACATTCAACAGAACTGGGAAGGACAAGACAGGAAGGCAGCTAAGTGAGGCAATAGCTGGAATATGACATGATCAAACATGACACTGGATTGTGAATAATTAAATAGAAGAAACTGAGCGATTTGCAGGAAGAATCTAAACTCTTCAGTAAATCCTTAAAATTAAGGAACGTACACACAGGAGAAGTCAGATGCCAGCAAAGGACCCTAAAACATTGCAGACTTGGATAAGGACCTCGCATTAAGATCTGCGAATACCAGAAGCAACATCTGAAGTGCCCTGGTTTTGATCAACTCTTGCTACTGAGCTGTAACTGCTCCACAGCCACCATCCAGCAGGACACAGGTAGCTCCCGGCACGGTCTTCATTCCCACTATTCACTTCTCCAGGAGGTCTACTCTGATTTGGAGCCGGAGCAAAATAGCAAATAGCAAAATGAACAGTGTCTGTAATGAACTGAAATGAAGCCAGAAGGACTCCAGTACATAAAAAAACTCCAAAGCGTCACGTCACCAGCAGTAGCTCCTCCGTAATATTCTCGTCGTAAAGCTAGAATCTTATTTGAGTGCAAATCCTATTCCAGCAGCAACAGCTGTGCCCGTAACACAGAGGAGTAACGCACTCAGCCTGGTGGCTCAGGTTCTTTCTGTAAGACAGAAGCAAAGCTTCCTGCCCTCAGAGAAAAAGTAGCAATTATGTAAGATAACTAATTACTGGAAAGCACTTGAATATTGAAGTGAGGAGGATTATTTAGAGTGAGAAGAGTCTACTATTACCTTGATGTATAAATGCAGTTCAACAGAAAGTAGGACTCTAAGAATCTCAGGAATTGTGTAGGAATTGCAATTGTAGTTGCAATATTTGTATAAAATTACTGGTGCAGAATGCATACAAACAAAACCAGAATCACAAATACAACACAGCAAGTAGAGCAAAACCTCATGCATGCACCTGTCTCCTTTTCTTCAGATTTGCAAGCTCTTTGTGGTTATTAACAATACTATCTAAAGATGAAATCCAGCTTAACCTCCTTCCTGAAAAGGATGCAGACCAGAAAATATCTTTTAAAAATTCAGCATTCAAATAAATGGAGGAAAAAAAAACCTCTTCAAATGGAAGAGGCTTATCTGGAAAGCAATGGCTAAGATGTACCATTCGGTACAGAAGGAAGCAGGAAAAAAGGTGACAGAGTCTCCTGATGAGGCCTCAACTACTGATCTGCTCCAAGAAGGAAAAATCAGGGACAAGGCAGCCTGTTCTTCATAGGCACTTGCTCTAGGATGGGGCAGCACACACAGGTCCCTTGGAGCTGATGGCTCCCATCCCATTTTGTCTACTTGAGAGAGAAAAATCAAACTGCACTTCTCTTTTTGGTCTCACCTTGGACAATATACACAGTAGCACTAGATATAGTTTTGCCTCTCTGACAGCAAAGGACATCAGTATCACCTGCAAAGTGGTGCAGGGGTTTAAAGAAAAGAAGCCACACAAAGACTAAATTCAGGCACTGATCCTTATTCTAAAACAGCAGCAAAGGGGCCACCTTGGGCAAAGCTAACACTGAAAACAACCATAAAAGCATCAGCGGCA